CTGCGCGCCGCAGCGGCGCCGAGTTCAGGGTCTCTCCGCGCAACGTAGGTTACGCGGCAGGACCTCTGCGGACTGGTGCGATTCCAGGGCGCGACTGCGTTGCCGTCCTTTGGCAGCTGCCAAAGCAGGCAATTAACTAAACCCAACAGAAATAAAACAAACTCAGGCTTGCCTAAAAGTTAGGATACTTTTTTTTTTTTTTCTTTTTTTTTTTTTCCCCTCCCCTTTCTTGTCCAATTTTATTCCCTATGTGGAAGCCGCTTACGAATCGTGCTCGGCACACTGCACGGGAAGAAGCGGTTCGTGTTTTGGATCGTGGATCTGCTGTTGCAAAGCGGTCTAACTTCCATGCAGTGGGGCAGGCTTCACTACTCTAAACGCCTTGATGATGTGCTGAGGAGCCCATGTAGATTGACATCTTGTGCAGAGAAGGCATTGAAGGTAAGAAGGGGGCTCGGGGAAAATAAGGGGGTGTTATGTCCTTTTCTGTGATCTCTTTTGTCCAGCATCCCCCTTTCAGCAGAGCATCAGCAGTTCACCCAGAGCAGCATGGATAGGCTGGAACTGCTCGAGTAAAATGCAAGTCTGCTCCTGTGAAAAGTACGTGGAGCTCACAAGTGATGGCAAAGGATGTATTTATTTCTAGTCTGATAGCACAGCACGTTTGTGATCCCTGCTCGGCGCGGGCAATGAGCTAACTCACAGCTCAGGAATGAGGAGATCTCCGCTCTCCGGCTCTGCTGGGCAGTTTGCATTGGCTGCTGCATTTTGTTGAATGTGTGCCCCCCACCACCTCCCTAGAGCATCCCATCATCCTGCTTGTTTTGTTGTTTTTCGCAGATATAGTGTCTAGTATTAATGAGAGAGGGAGAGGGATGGAAAAAAAAAACAAAACATATGGAACATTTTATTGATGTGATCGTAATCCTGTAATGGAGATTGCATTAAATGAGGATTGCATCAAAATGCCTAGCTGCTGGGGAGAGACGAGGAAGCAAAAAACTATGCTGCATTGTAAATGAAGTTCTTTGAAGGATTTTCTTGAACCATGAAGGGATGTCTGTAAGCTTAAAGTTGCTGTATATGTGGAGTACTGGAATGGGATAAAAACCAGATCAAGCTGAAATGTATTTTAATTCACTCGAGCTCTGGATACAGTTCGAATTGGTTAGAGGCATTGCAGTGATGTCCAATGAATTCTTGGTTTCAGCTATGGAGACCACAGAAAGGCAAGAGAGAGGAGAGCACAGAAAGGCAAGGAGAGGATTTTATCGTTTGGGGAAGAGAAGGATGGTTCATTTGTGACTTTTGCCATAATGGCACAAAGCTTACAGCCTGCTGGTTACAAGCAGAAACCCTGTAGGCGACCTGGAAAGCAGAGGATTTATCCCACTTTCCTCTTGCAACCTTGGTGTAGTTGCCTGTAAGAGTAGCTCCGAGGTGTATGTCAAGAGGCAAACAGGGACTTACGTGCCCCTCTCGGACACTGAGAGACACTGTGAGCTTGAGAGATGGACTCGACTCCTCTGATCCTGTCCTTCTGAGCTCGAGTTGATAATACATTTTGAGTAATTGTTGCTGCTTATCTCAATTGGCAAAGGAGAGGAGAAGATGTCCAAGTTTATTGAACCAAGGCAGAGCTGAGGACAGTAGATACTATCAACCCGTCCTTGCATTCTTTTTGTGCTAAATTTTATTCTGGCATAGAGAACTGAGCTACAAGGAGCACCATCTTCAAGCCTTACTGAAAGGAAACATAAAGAGAACAAAAAGATTAAGCCAAACATAAATTTTAACTTTTTGCTTGTGAGCAGTGGAAGTAGCAGTGATCTCTCAGATTACACAGGTCAAAAGAGGTAAGATAGGAAAAAAGTTATTTCTTTACTAACATTTACACACACCCAAACAAAGTTGGCATACAAATAAACATCACGGAGTGGGAAAGCACCATTTCTTAGAACCACCTAAGTTATAACTGATATTATCAGCAGAGAAATTCCTGTAAGAATACTCGACAGTATGTAGCTGTAACAGCAAAAGAGCTGGTTAAATACAAAATTACATAGAATAAGCCAACACCAAATATCTGATGTTCTCAGAAGTAATTTGTTTTCCCACTTGAGTTGTGTACAAAATCTGAGGCAATAGCTCCACAGTTCAGTCTCTCTCTTGCTGTATATTTGGCATAAAGTTGAGACGGAAACACTTATTTAAAATAAAATGAAGAAGAGCAGCGTAAGCGTACTGAATTCCTCTTAAGCATTTTATTTTGGCAAAAGATGACTTTTAGCGAATTGTAAGAGATGGGTTTAGAATATTCATGGCTAAACTCCAGGGAGCTTAGTGTTAGCTCAGTAGGCAGAAGGTTCTTCCTCTAAAGAGATATCTGGAAAAGATGTGTTTAAATTTCAAGCCATATTCAATTGAGACTGTTGGTTTCTACATTTTAAAAGCATTTGCTATGCTTCTTAGGGGAATGATGCTTAATCTGGAAAATAAAGCAAGTAGTGCTAGCTCACTTTTTTTATAGAAAGAGCAAGCAGTGTGCTTTAATTGTACTTCTGTATCTACAAATGCTCCAGATTTGACTCTATTTTTTATCAAATAACAGCTGAGGAAAAATTAGTTTTTCGAAACCATGGTTATCCATGCAGATCTTGGTCTGTATTTTTGCTACAGAAGAACTCTGCTTCATGGCTGCATTGTTCATCCTTGCAGCATTTCTTTAAATGTGAGCTTTGCTATAGTTAAAGGATAATTTATATTCAGTGTAGTACTGTCTGCTCAGTGGAATTGGCTTTATACATCACAGCCTCTGCAAAAAAGGAGATCAAAGATCTGAACCTGTGGTCCTGTATTGCATTTGTATTCTACATGGACTTGAGTAATCTTATACTGGAGCCATTCACACTCCCATAGTTAAGAATATGTCAGTCTTTCCAATAAAACACCCATTTGCTTAGTAATTTAGCAGCTAGTTTTAAAGACAGTCTCTAAGCTTAAGTTAAACACATATATATATTAAAAAAAAAGAGATATCCTAAGCAATGTGCATAATAACAATTGGCATTTGCTAATAGAGCACTGTTAAGTTGAATTTATAGAAAGCTTAGTAGGAGATAATACCTGTCTGAAAAATTTGGAGATGAAAAGGGAAAAAAAACCCCTTTCACATTTGAAAAGCCCCCTCTGGATCCAGGTGAGTTAATACCTGGAGTTTAAAGGGGCCTGTGATTGTTAAGCAGGCAGTAGGGCTTTTCTTAAAGGAGAACAGCACTGGCTCAGAACTGGAATTAGTCAGATCACAGTTTAATGGTTCAGTTTTAGACTGGGTTGGAACTAATCCCTTTGGCATTATTCCGGTTAGTTGTTTTGAGGGTTAAGTTACAAGAACAACACCACCCCAAACCTTGTATCTTAACTAGTGAAGTTATCCTTTCAAATAAGCTAAAAAGAACAATACAGTCTTGAATAATGTTGACTGTCTGACACAGGTGTTCAAAGCATCTGGGGCATGCTGCTGCTAAAGCGCACTTGCCAGGTAGCCCACCTGAGAAGAGCTTTCCGTCACTGGGACAGCCGGTGGGACTAACAGTCAGCTTACACTTAAACAGATCCCCTTCTTCTAGAGCATCCACAATCTTTTACAATGGCCTGTCTCAGCCAGATAACTGTCTTCTAACAGTGAAGTAGTTGCTTTGACTCTGCAGACAAAGTATGTGAATGCCTAAAATCACTTTGTGCATATTTCATGTTAGAAATGTAAAAAGTAGAATTAAAAATACACGTGGATTCAATGTTGCATGTGCTATCTAGTACCTAGTAGTAAGTTCAAGATACAGCTTGCTGTAGTCCAAGTATTTTGGATTGGATGGAATAGATGAGTTTTGTATGAAAGTTTTGTCATTTAAATAAAAATTCACAAGGGGGATGAATAGATTTCTGCCCAATTACCTCTTTGTGCAATGAGATCACTGGGAGGAATTTCTAACACTTGTCTTTCCTCAGTGCGGTGAAGTAGTGATGACCGTATCTTTCTTGGGTCTTCTGAAAATTCATGCTCCCTGCAAACATACAGGCAGGTACTACAAAGCAGAAAATTTAAGGTGGAAACAGGAGTTTGATTATCCCTTCAGATCTGTGGAGAGACTCCCATTCTCGTTATCCAATGGTAAAATAAGGAAAATAGGTTTAAAACACTCTTTTTCAGTTACACTTTCTGAATTAGCAGAGTGTCTTGCCAGGAAGCATAAAGGCTTCTTTAGCTTTTGCACATTTAAAAGCTCCACTGAAAGAGGAGTTTAAACTGTCCTTAAATTTGTCTTTAAGGTGTCATACTGTGAGTAAGAGTGGGATTAGTGAAAAACACATTTTGAGTGATATCTACCACCTCTGGAACAAGTGAATGAAAGATATATATGTATTTTTTAAGTTAAAAAAAACTTTTTAGAGAAAGGCTGGTGTTTCCAAATAAGGGAAACAAATACTGTTCTTAAAATCACACAGTAAGATTTCACATTTGAATGGAAAAAGCCCACCAAACCCACCTCATTTGCACAGGAAGCTTCATGAAGTTCCAGGGAAAATTAATATAAAAATTAGAATACAGATAAAAAAAAGACTGTGACATTTAGTCTGTAGATACAACCAAATCATGGTCGTTTTGACAGTAAATAAGAAACTGTAAGGGGTTGTCCGTAGCTGTGTCGTAATTAAGCATTCTTGTCATTTGAAGTCTTTCGTCATTGCTTTTAAGAAATACTCTGTTGAAAATTACTTTGTTTCAGATACACTTAACAAACCCCATGTTTTGCCATAGATTATGTAAGATTTAGCCTTCTTGATCCAATATGGCCTGAGCCAAAGCTTCCTGCAGTCTGTGGAAAAAACTCCTGTTGGAACAGGGCCTTCAGTAATTCCTTCCTGCATTTCCTAAGGTACATACTTTAACTTCTGCCACTTGTTTAGGAGTTATGTTAACGTCATATAGAAGGCATTCCCGTACAGGAGTTTTGCTTGCATGGGTGGCAGAACTTCACCTGTTTAACAGCAAGGGCTTTCCTAACTTTTCGGGGAAGTTCTTTGTAAATGGCTGTTGTTTTCCTTCATTGAAGTTGCGATTGAGTCCGCAAGGATTATATAATTTCAAGGGAACCTACATCATCAGCTCAGCAGAAAGCCCAATATGTTCTCAGAGAGGCAGATGAACATTGAAATTGTTGGAAACTTCCAAATTCAATAGTGAAATTATGAACAGAGGTGGCCCATGGTATTTAAAACCCATCTCTGTGGGGTTTAATATGGCAGTTCACTGTGCTAAGAAACTGCCTGCTTCATTTTCCTGCCAGGGGAACATCTTGCATTGTGTACTACTTCGATTTGATATGGTTGTTCTGGGGATGATTTTCATCCTCCAAGCTGGTCTAGAAATAAGATGTCAC